TCAGGATACTACTTTTCCGGCGTGCATCCGTCAGGTGTCGTAGGATTGGCATAGTTATAGGAAGGCGAGGGGTGAGTGCAGCCGTACCATGGCATCGTTGGATGCCCTTCAACACCCTCTTCAGAAGCCACGCATCTACTAAGGGGCCAGCAAACCCATTCTCAAGGTGGGCTTTATGCACCGCACTCGCATACACAGATACAGTTCAGGGCACGCTGATCATAGTTCACGCATGAATGTGTGTCCATGAACGATGACTCGGGCAGCAAAAGTGAGCTTCCCCAGGAGGGACTCGAGTTGACGCTGGCCGATGCTGCGCTCGCTGATAGTAGCCATGAGTGGCGCACGGATCTCGGACAGCTTGTCCTCTGGTAGCCGAGCTTCGTGGCGCTCGCAGTCTAGGACAATACCAAGGAAGGTCAATGATGGTGATGGCCCTTCGAGCTGGGATGGAGCAAAGAGTGCCGAGATATGTGAACGCCCGGAGGGGGATGGTGAGTTGCTGGTTGGCTGCAGCCAAACCAGTGGAGATATCGAGAAAGTCATCGAGGTAGTGAAGCCGGTGATCTATAGCAAACTCGTGCTGCATGATCCAGTTGACTGCTGTGGCTACTGAGTCAAAGACGGCTGGGCTGGAGCGGAGGCCGAAAGGCAGAAAACGCTCGTAGTAGTAGGAGCCTTCCCAGCGAAGTCCTGACGGCGGACTGGGATCTGCCGAAATGCACTGCGTACATCGAGCTTGGACAACTACACAGGCTGTGGGCATGACATGATGATGTTGATCGCGTTGTCAATGCTCGCGTAGTGCAGAGAGAGCGGCTCGGCAGGAATGCTGTCGTTCGCGCCGGTGCCTTCCGGACTAGACAGATGGTGGATCATTCGCGGCTTGCCGTTCTTTTTGGGGATGGCACCAATACCAGAGCGCATGAACTGAAATGGAGGTGACGGAAATGGGCCTGTGGTCTCGCTGCGGGCGCAGGAAGCAGCTAATTGCTCGGATATAAATGCCGAGTGAGTGAAAGCCAATGGTAGATTATTAGAGAAAACCGAAATGTCGTGTTGGCCGGCAGATCCAAGAGTAAAGCCACGGCGCAGGCCATGGGGAACATACGCAACACATGATTGATCTGAGTGGTTACGTAACAGGCGGGCAAAGTGGTCAGCTAGCAGTGTGGTGTCTGCAGAGTGTATAGGAAAGAAGCTACGTACCGAGTCAAGCGATTCAGTAGCCATTCTGCTAGGAGCGGCGGGGTGGCCAATTGGCTCCGCGCTGCCGCTGGTTGCACATGATGCATGGGTGGTCCTTGCCACACTGGCTGCAGGTATGGGAGAAGCGGCACGGCGACGAAGAACAGCGACCTCCATTGAAGTTGCGGCAGATTTCTTGGCCGTCGCTGGTATGGTTGCGACCACTGGAGGCAAATGCTGCTGGCTTCGGGACGAAAAGGACACAAACCGCCCCTGGATGGACCGTCTTACATTGAGCGCATTTTGGGTGTGCATGGCCTGTGACAGCTATCTGCCATAGGTTCACGTCGATGGTGTCCAACCTCTTCGTGCCTGGTTACTGGGCCACGAGCATCCGCAGCTGGCGGTCGTACTCTAGCCACGCGCTTGGGAGGAACTGGCAGTTAGCAGTCAGGATCAACTGCTGGTACGCAATCAGTTCAGCAGTGCGGTGTAGGGCAGCAGCCGTGATAACAGACATGTATGTGGTCCATGCCTCGAGCCGGGTAGCTACATGTGTAATTATCATGAACCTTGCGACGCACCTGCTTCGCGTCATCCGACTCAACGATATTTAGCTGGCTATCGTTATTCGGGCTGTGCACCAGCCGGAATGTTGGGCCGGAAGTGTGCAAGAATTTCAGGCAACAAACTTGAAAAATCTACGAACTCCCCTCGCAAGATACGTTCTTGCACAGCCTTGGGCACAGCTGGTGCAGGTGGCTGATCAGGTGGGTTACAGGAGCTTGGCCTGGCGTAGTGGCGGCAGCTGCCGCATTGCCTTGGCCTTGGGTGAGGAGCGGCGCCGAGAGTGAATGCTCTCCGATAATAATAAAATGGCGGCCGACAAAGCCGACTACACCTCGTCCCGTACGGGAGCGCAGAGATCCGTTGAGCCCGCGTCACCTGAGCTGGCGGAGGAGGCATTGGTGCACGTCGGGCTTCTGGGCTCGCGAGCCGTGTCCGCACTGTCATGTTGCTGGTTCTCCTGGCCGGAGCAGACCTCACTACCAAGGGCTAGTTGTGCCAGCAAACGGTCCTGTCAAATACTTTTACTAAGTTTCCTTTCGGATTCAAGCCGCGCTGAGAAGGCTCGCCGCGGAGGGCTTGGCAAGGCATTGCCTTGACAGTGTCGACAGTAAGGTCAGACATACTGAAGAAATACAGTGTCGAGGTGACACTCGGGCTGGCAGCAAAGCTACGAAAGGAAAAGAAACACTGCTGAAGCACGATCCGTTGTCTGGAAGAGCACAACAGGGCAAGCAAGATTTGTTTTTCTTTTCCGCAAAAATGGGCTGGTGCCATTTGTGATTACGCAGCAAAACAAAGCGCATGACGTCAGTCTTGAATGCAGTACAAAGCAATGCAGTGTGTGCGCTAGTTCGGATTGTTGCTAACAAGTACTAGCACAGCTAGTACACCAATAAAGACTTTTTAAAATAGTACTAGTAGTACTAGGAGTAGTAGAATCAATATATTTGATAGAGAAGACCCCAGTACACTACAATTGTAGGCTGCAGACGTTGCCGTCTAGCCTTGTAATTATTATCAGGGAACCCCTAGTATATAGTGCTCATGGTTGAATATACATGTACATGTACAATGTACTAGTATCCGATATTATTCAACCACACGCTGCGGAATGTCGTGAACGTGTCGCAGTCTCAGAATGACATGAAAAATGAAACTTCCGCTGATGTAGTCAGGGAGTCGTCAAACACCCGGTATTTGACGACTCCCTGGATTATTTAGCCATGCATGGTCAACCGAAGCCGTACGGCCGTGTGTAGATACAAGTACAGTAAAAATGGCAGTGGATATCGATGCCCAGGATTTTCAAAAACAGCAAACTACATGACATTGTACTCAAACAATAGGAGGACAGAGAAAGTGTTTTTACTCCGAGTTTCACGCACTAAGCGATGATCAGAAAACAGTAATGAGAAATCTGGATCAGTATTGGTTTATATACTCACAAAGCAAAGTGTAAATAGCTGCAGCATGGCGCAAATGTAAAAGTTGTGAATGGCGGCAGTGCAAAGCGTTAATGACTGCATCATGCGGCCAATCCAAAAGTAAAAGTGTGAATGACAGCAGTGGTGAAAGGTGACAACCACTGGAGCCGGTTGTCTCTTACTTAATTAGGTGATGGCTGTGTATGGTTTGAAGCAGGGAGTCGTAAAAGGGCTTTTACGACTCCCTGGTTTGAAGTTCCGAAGGTAGTACCTATTCTCGTGGCGACACTTTGACACAAGCTCACTCCTTTTGTTGAGAGAGAGGTGCTTGGGTGCTTGCGCGAATGCCAATTTTTCCGCCAGGCACAGGTTGCACCTTTTGCTTTTGTTGCTGTAGGCCGCTGCTCTGCGGTGTACCGCGCCCATTGAATGCTGCATGCCTTCCCTTCATCCTTCTTGGTCCAGACGTACTGCGATAGGCGGGTGTCCTTCTCGTGTTGTCTGTGGCGGAATGAGGATTGGTGGTTATAGTAGCGTTGTTTGAATGTTGTTGCTGTTAATCCTGTACACTCCTTCTTCTCCATACCTGCGGTGACTCTTGCCTTATACACGATGCTCTCCGACATTGTACTCTCGTGACCAGGACTGCAAGACTGCCAAGAGTAGTACACAAGGTCCTGGGAGTTTATATTACTCTTTCTACTACTGCAGTACAGCGTGTTGCATTCTTAGTGTCTTTGAATAGTATGCGTATGATCAAGTGTTTGTTCACCTATATTTTTCCCTTTTTTTCTATTTTTGGTTTTGCTTTCTTTCTCTTTTTCTCCCCTTCTCTTCTGGTATCATGTCTATGGGTGTGGCCCAAGCGAAGGCTAGGCTAACGCCGATGCCAACGCGAAAGGGCTGATGATGATGATGACTACTGCAGTACTGGTAATCTTGTATTGAGCTATAATACAATCATGACTTTGTAGTACAGTCAACTTCGCTTATAACGACACTCGACGGGGCATCAGAAAAGTGTCCTTATTCGCGAAGTGTCGTTACACCCGAAGTCTCATTATGTGTCACAGTTGGATGGGACTTTGCTCTGGGCATGAAAATTATGTCGTTATTCGCGAATTGTCGTTATATCTGTAGTCGTTATTTAGCGAAGTTGACTGTACATGTACCGGTAGTACAAGTCAACAGGAGAGAGAGAGAGCCAGAGAGGGGGGGGGGGGGGGGGGGAGAGGGAGGCACATCTTACCACAACCTGTCACTTTGATAGCAGGAAGAAGAGGCCCGGCTGCAGCGTAGATCTACATGACCGCCCGTCGCGTCGACGAGCTGTGTGTGTGTGTGTGTGTGTGTGTGTGTGTGTGTGTGTGTGTGTGTGTGTGTGTGTGTGTGTGTGTGTGTGTGTGTGTGTGTGTGTGTGTGTGTGTGTGTGTGCGTGTGTGTCACTGAGTGTGTGTGTGCGCGTATGTGCGTGTGTTGCCACGACAGAACTGTTTGTACAGCTGCGCTAGGGTTGGCTTTTACTCGTACGTACTCGTGCAGTATTTTTCAATTATTATTTTGACTTTTTGTTTGTTGGAGCTGCATGCAGTGCCTCGGCGCTAGTCAATCGCAGGTAGCTCGATGTTTATGGATCATTGGATGACTGCATAGACTTACACTATCAGCATACGAGTAGGCGAGTTTTTGAACAGCCTATTACCAGATTACTATTTTAGTATTTAGGCTGTAACACCCTCGAGCCTCGTACTTGGGTAATATCCGGTGCACGGTGATCGATCAGTGACTCGAGTTACAAAAGTGTAGCGTGTACGAGTGTCGAGCCGCCGACGTGGTTTCGACCAGTCCGGCCGGCCGGTCCTTTCATGCAGTGCACCTAGCATGCACCCGTGACCTCATGAGCTCACCGACGTCACCGCGTACCGTTCACTGGTTGACTGAGGCAGGTGGCGCCTTCGCTTTTTTTGACTTCTGCGGTACGAATTCGTAATTCAATTTTTCCAAGCTCAAGCCACAGTCTAGTCAAGGGTGAGAACCGAAACTTGGAGAAAGACAGTAGAAATTTGCCCAAGAGTTGGCCACGGTCCCAAGCCATTGATGGTGGTGCAGCAAGGAGCAACATGGATCAAACAGAGTTTGTCTGGGATCCGGAGCGAGATGGGCAGGCTCGCTCTGCCACCACCTCCAAGGAGGTGGAGGTCTGGGCAACTGGAATACTCTGCGAGCTGGAACAAATCTCTCAGAAATATCACATTGACGTCAACGACATGTCCCACCTGCTCAAGCTTGTCACATCGTCCCTAAAGGAGCTGGATGTCGTGCTGGAGGAAAGTGGCAATTCAGGTGCGGAGAATACCAAGCTACACACGGAAATCGGCCAGCTGGAGCAGAGACTGCGAGCTGAGCAAGATTCCAATAGGAACACTCAACGCGTAAGAGAATGAGGTCATCCTGGTTGGCAATGTGTTGTAGGAACCTGACCATTTCTATGGCCATGATGGCATCTCACGTCATGCACGGGGGCCTATGAGGACTTGGGACAGTTTAGAAAATGAGCTTTGGCAGCTCTGTGTCCAAACATACACAATAGCATAGCACAGCACTAGCAGTGTAGTCCTTGACCTAAGGCTTGGTGCCCGAAGCAAGTCCACTGGCACTACAGTATTCTGGTATTGGTAGTCCTGCCTGCTTAGTTCATGGTACACACGTTTTGCGCTGTATCATGTTCTTGAAATCAAGACCTGCGCGACCCAGTGGGGGTGCGTCTTGTAAGCAGTTGTTGATTGTGTTGGCGGCACCGGCACATGACATTTTTTTGCTGGCATGTACATTAGCCATGCATGCTTGTGGGATACATGATATGGAATTTTAGTGGTGGGGTCGAAAGCATCACGCCTTCCCCACACAATCTAAGATGACCTTAGGGTCTGCTGGGAATGCCCAAGTGCAAGTAGTAAATGGCAATACAATACAATATCTGCTGGGATGCAGTTATCCACAGTGACAGCTGTACCACTTTTTAAACCCAGTTACTCCATGGAGTTTTTGTTGTGCGTGCGCACGTGTGTGTCTGTCTGTCTGTCTGTCTGTGCATGGCGTGTGCGTGTGTCCATCCGTCTATCGGGGGCTCTACTCTAGTCTCTTCTTTCTCTTCAAGACCAGCATGACTCTGAGCGGCGTGTGCTGGAGTCAACGGTCAAAGGACTGGAAGTGAGGAACAATCAAACGTCGGACATGCTCGCGGCCAAGGCTCAGCACTGTAAGGGAACCATTGACTTTCATCTCTGCTATAAAGAATTGCGTGTATTTCACATGATTGTATACGTGTGTGTGTGTGTGTGTGTGTGTGTGTGTGTGTGTGTGTGTGTGTGTGTGTGTGTGTGTGTGTGTACTCTTATGCTTTCAAATACTTGTACAATTGAGCTATCAGATGCAAAAAGTTGTAATGTATGTCCCCCAAAAAATCGATGTACGATGATTTTGTGCTACCGCTCATCCATATGTGTTGCTATCTTGCAGATACTAGACTGATGGAGGAGCTGGATGACATGCAGCATCAACACATGGAGGAGAGAAGCAGACATGCAATGGTGAGCGCAGTGAGAACTGTCTGACTGAGACGTGCCGCACAGCTATGATGTCATTGCGATGCAAACATTACACGCTGCCTTTGCTGCTATGATGTCATGGCAATAACGTCATGCACTTACCACCATAGCATTCCATGTACTTAGTATTAGCTGCAGTACCTGCATGGGGTAGTAATACAGTGCAAACATACCAGCAGCATAGCACTGCCTTGTGTCTTTCTGTTTAGGAATGTAGTTAGTGATATTACCCATGACTACAGTCCATTTCAAAACTATAGACGCGTACCTAGGCAAAAACCGTTATGCCAGCATCTATAGAACATAAAATCTGTGATCACTTTGTGCATAATTTTTTCCAAATTGGACGTCTGTTATCCAATCGTTTAGAAACTATATGAGAGTAATTGTGGAGTGGTCCTGAGCAATATTCCGAAAACTATTCTCAAAAAGTTCCAGCCAAATTTGAAATATTTCAAAAACCCTACGCGTCTATAGTTTTGAAATGGACTGTAGTACCATCTTGATGTGTGTAATGGCCACTGAGGGTAGCCATGTGTCAGCTGAGAGCACATGGAGGAGAAGAGGAGCAGAGATTGTTGAATTATTGAACAGTCGAATGAGACCGTTCACAACTTTATTGAGAGTACCATCTCCTTGAATTAAATTATGCATGAGTGTTGTTGTTGTTGTCGTTGTTGTTGTTGTTGTTGTTGTTGTTGTTGTTGTTGTTGTTGGTTTCAAATCTTCATTGTTGTCGTTTTTGTTGTCGTTTTGCAGACTGTGCGCGGCTATGTTCAGAGAATTGATGCCGTGGAGAGGAAGCTTGATGAATACCAGTATGTCCACGCCACTGTCTGTACAATTATATGCTCACCGTTGCAGCTGCTGCTGCTGCATGGCCGGCTTATGGCACTGGCAAGATACACACACATACACGCGCGCGCACACACTTCACACACACACACACACACACACACACACACACACACACACACACACACACACACACACACACACACACACACACACACACACACACACATATGCACGCACGCACGCACACACGCACACCACACACACATAAACACACACGTGCGCACTTGCACATCCGTGCCAGGAGAGGACAACATGGTTTTCCAAATTCATGTCCCAGTACCTGCATGTCAGCTGGGAGAAATCACGGTGTACTTCGCTATTCTTACCATTAGGAAATGCAGGGGTGTATATCAAAATAGAGACATGAGAATGTGCTCAAGAGTTCTCCTCAGACATTTTAAAAACGGGACATTTTTAAAAAGCCTAAAATCAATTTTTCACCAGTTGTAGTCTTCGGGGTGCTGAGCCGAATGGTCTTGGTTCGAGGAAGCTGAGACGCTTGTGCGTGTATGCATGTGTGTGTGTGTGTGTGTGTGTGCATGTGCGTGTGTGTGTGCATGTGTCTGTGTGTGTGTGTGTCTGGTGTGTGTGTGTGTGTGTGCGTGTGTACGTGTACAGGATGAGCTTTGGCAGCCTGGCCACTCCTCACATGTCGGCATCCAGCATGGACACGTCAGTGCTGCTTGTCCAGCGGCATGCGTCCCGCATATCAGCTGCATCCCTCCAAGAGCCTGTCCTGCACAGCGGTAAGGCCAACAATAGAACACCCCCTTCGGTATTCTGTTTCCGAAAAGTAGAACCTAACCTACACAAGTAATCTGATATATATAATAAAGTAGAACCTAACCTACACAAGTAATCGGCGTTAGTTGTGGCTGTGTACTGTACGTGTACTGTACGTGTACTGTACGTGTACTGTACGTGTACTGTACGTGTACTGTACGTGTACTGTACGTGTACTGTACGTGTACTGTACGTGTATTGTCTATCCTACAAGTACATGTAGTAGCAGACCAGTTTTAGTAGATGTTCTGTGACCTTAGTGCCAATACGCAGATGACTTTCATTCAATTCACTCTTTTTATCACCAGTGCACATTGACACACAGAGTGATTACCGTAGTGACTACTGTACTCAAATCATGTTCCTCTTGTCCTTTATCCATGCTGCGTGTCCAGCCCGACACAAGCAGCAGCAGCAGCAGACTAAAGAAGAGGACACATCACCTGCCCTGGACAGTCCCGAGCGAGAGATTTCAGCGGATAGTGGTGGCAGCACTGCACCAATGATTGGTACGCTCTCCGACACCTCCAGCCAGTGCAGTAACGAAGATGACCGGCGAAGCATCTGCAGCAACGGCAGCCGTAGCTCCGACCATCTGGATCAGACGATGGCTGTTGACGTTTGCACAACGCCCAGTGCCACGCAGTCGTCGCATTCCACTGACGACGACCACCACTCCAAGTCACCCACCTTGCATGACGACTGGAGCACGAGAACGCGGCGAGACAGTCAGCAGTCCATCATCACGCACCACCTCCACTCAAGTCAAAGAACCCCGCTCGGTGAGTTTGCCAGTTGCCACACTACATGCACTAGTCCTGAGCTCTGCTCCGGTGAGTTGCCGCACAACACGCACTACTGTTGACTGTGGCTCCACTCGGTGAGTTGCAACACTACACACAGTCACACACTACACAGACCACTCTTGAGCTCCGTTCGGTGAGTTGCAACACTGCACACACACTACACACAGACCACTCTTGAGGTCTGCTCGGTGAGTTGCAACACTACATACACACTACATCACCATACTCTTGAGCAGTTGACTGGATTACATTGTACCTTTTCACTACGAGCTCATGTCAGAGAGCTCCGATCGGTGAGTTGCCACACTGCACGCACACACACACGCACGCACGCGCACACACACGCACGTATGCACGCACGCGCACACACACGCACGTATGCACGCACGCGCACACGGCCAGCAGAGGTGATATGATGCTTTTAAAATGTAGAACTGAAACTGGATAAGCACCGGCTGTAGCTAAATTTAGTCTTCCTCCAGTAATATTCATTAGTTTGAGGGGGTGTAAAGTCCTACTTGCAGGTATAAGTGAAACAATGTTGCTTATAAAATATCACCTATGTGTACTTATGTGTATTTGTAGCATCAAACAATGTGAAATACGAAAGGAGTGAAATTCTGACTTCTGACTTTTCCCAAAGCGCGTACATTGGCGTTGTTTGTCGATTCTTTGCCTTTTAATTCACCTGCGCTCAGACTCTAGTGTGTCGTTTCTGTATCTGATGACGGTTGGAGCTAAGACTGCTGCATGAAAGTTGTGCTCATGTGCTTATATGTATGTGTGCATGCCATGCATGGCACACTGCTCTCCTGCGTGCAGCCCTGTAATGTCTCGCTCAGCATGGTGTGCTTGACTATTTTCCATCATCTCACGATCCCCGTAGCTGCATGGACGTGTTGGCAAAAGTCTTTGCTAACTTCTGTGTCCCTATTCATATTCCTGCTTTGTCAACAGTGGCTACGAATGGTGAAGTCATCGACGGACAAAATCTTCAAGATGAGCTGGTGCAAGCTAACTCTGCGATGGATTCGACCTTCTCCTCAACACTGTCTCAAGTCTGTAAGTAATAATTCTATTCTTTTGATGGCCGGTCGCTGATAAGAGATAGGTTGTCGTTGTTTTTGCTGGTGTTGGTGCTGGTGATTGTGGCATTTAAATGCAAGCAAGCATGGGTGTTGGTGCAGCCGCTATGTTTGTCCTCATGTCTATACATCGCCGTGACGCGTATTTCGTATATTTTCGTTGTCTTATGTGCATGGCTTGTGACAGACTCTGAGAATGCAGCTTGCATGGAAGCGTTGGAGGCACGCTTGGCAACAACTCTAGACGAGAGGTAGGTGTTGCGTACAGTAAAACCTGTCAAGGCGATCACTCTGATAGCAGTGATATGGCGACTGCCTGTCCAGGCAGACCACTGCAACTGGGACCAGGGCGGCTGTTTCCAGTCGCATGACCCTGGTTAATAAGGAGACCACCTCTACACAGCGACCACACTTTGAACGTCCGTTGAGCGGTCGCCTCAAACAGGTTTCACTGCATGTGGTTTTCTCTGAAGCATGGACACTCAGGTTGCATTTGTTCGGTCATTCCCGAATGGGCATGGAATGACGTCGGTACCCATCGCGGAATCGGAATGAGCGTAGCAAACAAACGCGCTGGCATGGATTCGAGAATCTGGCAAAAGTTTTGCGCCGCTCTGGAAACGTATTACATGTACCTGTTGTTTGCACAAAATAATGTTGCAGCCTTGCAAAGACTACTAGTACAACAATCTACATGCCAGTCCTGGTAGTTGCTATGCTTCCGTAATATAAGTTTCTGCAAGTCCCTATGACAGTCATGATGAAGGAGCGGCCAAACACGGCGTAGATCAACGAGTGATCGTAACTAGGGTGCCTGCAGGCGGCGTTTGGCCGCTACTTCATCATGCTATACGACCTCGTACAAGTCACAGAAACGTCTCGAGCTCTCGTGTTTATTTGACAGAGACGAGGCACTGTTGTAAGAAGAAGTGAAGTGGCAGGCTCGGTGCCTCTTTGGGTCACTTTCTTCTGGCTCGCCTCCCTGTGATTCTAGAGGCCCTGCTTGACGACGATGAAGAGCTGAGGTGCGAGGGCATATTTCCAGTTCATCAACGATCCCGGGCGAACATTTCTCAGGCAGCGAAGGGTCAAAATACCACGAACAAGTTACTATGCCGTCCCCGAGGTTACAGCACCTGCCTATCCTGGACGATGTCCGCCAACATTTCTGTATATCGATAATCGCGTTTGAAGTTTTGTTGGGGAGGTATGCAGCAACGACGAACTACTGTAGTTACTAATTACTTCCCCTCCGCACATTTTCATTCCGCTCGGAATGAGACCTCATTCCACTTTTTCTTAGGAATCGCCAGAATCGATTCTGCCCCCTTCATTCCGCGACCGGAATCGGAATTGCACCGAACAAACGCTGTCCAGTGCATCAAACAAACGCTCCGGAATCAAAACAAGGCGGAATGACTTTGGAATGGTGGCGGAATGGCACCGAACAAACGCAACCTCAGTACTGATGGTATGCAGGCCATACGGCAGTCACCTTGCTAGAGGATTTCTCTGAACTCTGGATACCCCCTGTCACGGTATCCTGGTCATATTGTCATCCATGCTGATGGGTAGGCTAGTAGTTGATGCATTTTCGACTTTTGTACTTCAAAAGTTACGTTCGTATCCGAAATGGTGCTGACGTCATGGGCGACTTCCAAGCTCTTTGCTAATCCGTGGAAAGCTCCCAGATCTTCCGAAGAGCAAAGTTGCCTGCCGCACGTGCCTTGGATAGACCCATCATGACATCCCAATATGTCTTGTGTATGCTTCACCCTGCTCCAAATCGTTTCATTACACTTTATCACGGGGGGGGGGGGGGGGTGATAAAGCCCTATGTGTAGTGATGTATATGCTCGCTCTTGCAAACGTGTGTGTGTGTGTGCGTGTGTGTATGTGTTTGTTTGTTTCCCTGGTGTCTCCCGCAGAGCAACTCTGATACGTGAGAAGTCTGACCTTCAGCTAAGCCTCGCCAACACAGCCAGGTAAGGCGTCTGTTCTGTGCAGGGTCTGAGCTTCCTGCCCCGTTAGCGCTGGTGACAGTGTCTGGTAAGGGTTCTCTCAGCAGTTTCCTTGCTGTTTTGACTTTTAACCTGTATAGAATCGCCTGAGCAACGTTCTGTTGCAGTGCCCACTGCACACTGTCCGCCAACTTGTGTTGCAAATTCTTCTAATCGATGTTCTCTTGCTTGCCAACACTCTGGTACTAGTGGTGTGAGCTTATACTGATGTGCATGCGTGTGTCTACCCCAGCGACTTGAGCTGCTGTCGACAGGAGTTGGAGACCCAGCAGCAGCTTGTAGCCGCTCTTCATAAATCTCTGGACACTGCCAAGCGCAATCTGACCGAAGCCGAGGAGAAAAGGTACGGGTCAATCAGCGCACGTGATTATGTCCAGTCACAGGATGACTGTTGACATGAACCCCCCTGCAACCCACGCCGTACACGCACACACACGCACACACACACGCACGCGCACACACATGCATGCACACACACACACACACACACACACACACACACACACACACACGTGCACATACACACACACACACACACAGACTTCCTGTTGCTTTGGTTGGTTCTCGATTGTATGTATTGGGCTTGAAAGCGATGACATCAGAAAACATGATAATGACAACTTCTGGGTCAATTCAATCTAATTTGACCAATAGTGAAGTACAGTAGTGCAAGTACAAACAAGGCCGGTCTAGGCAGCTCGAGGTAGAGTGCTCAATGTACGAATGTACAGAGCAGTATACACACACAACAGAGGCGAACGGCTGTGTTAGCTGTAGCTTCAAGTTTCACGCATTTCAGCGATCATCAAACAGCAGCATTCAGTATCGAATTCTCTGCGAGCAGGCCTAGATATTTAATGCTAGTGTGGAAGTTAGTGCATATGTGCGAAGTGAAGACATGGCATCGGGACAGCGCTAACACAGCCTTTCGCCTCTGTGTGTACTTCAAGTATATTGTGTGTAGATTGTAGGCACCTCTTGCCCCATGCAGATGTGATTTGTCTATACCAAGAGTGGGTCCTGACAGGGAGGGCCCGGTCCAGTCACTACCGCTGGATGTGTCACCCTACCGTGAAGGTCTTAGGAAAACCACCCAAACGATTATGGATCCATACAAAAACCTAGATCCAAGTTGACCCAAAAGTCAGCATTGTCATTCATGCCTACAGCTTGGCTGTGGCGCAGCACTATCAAGCACCGTTATCACTTGAAGGTGATTGAATACAGTGGTCCCTCTATAATCCGGCACCATTTGTGCCACGGAAATCTGCTGGATTAGGGAGGGTGCTGGATTAACAAATCTGATTTTCGGCTAGAACGTGCATGAAGAGGACATTTTGGCTACTGACAATTGTGCTGGTTTATCGAGGGTGCTGGATTATAAAGTGCTGGATTAGAGAGGGACGACTGTATATTACAACTGCCCTGGAAAATGTGAGGTTTTTTCCCAATTATTTTGTTTACTGACTTGCAGGCATTCTGTCAAGTCTCCCATCACACACGCTGTGGTAAGAATCAATGCATTCTCATGTACAGTACAATACTCCTAACTGGG